AGAGAAATAAAGAAAGAAAAGAAGGAAAATTCAAATCAGGAGCATCTGTTGAACTTCTGTCCCTGTCGGTTTCGATGTTGTGCATGGGTCCATGCGTTTCTCATGTGGTTATGCATCTTGACGCGCACCTCCAGCTCTTTGCATTTCTTTGTGGTTTCAGGTGCAGAGCGTTCTCTATTTTTTGGGGGGCGGGGGGTGTATTTGATGTATAGCCTACGTGTGTACGGTTCGTCAGGCCAGTACATGTTGCCTGGTGTTCGACGTCCATTGGTATTCGTATTTCGTCGCACTCTTCGTTGTCGTTTCGTCTTTGCTAACTGCCATCAAGTTTCCTTCGGCGTTGACATTTGTTCGTCTCTTTCATGAAACCAGGCCGAAGCGCTGGAGCAGGCGAGCATAGCCTGGGAGGCTGGACTGGTGGAGAAGGCCTCCAAGGACAAGACGAAGAAGGAGCATACAGCGGCGGCTAATCGTGCTCGCGACAAGGCCAAGGAACATTATGCCCGTTCGATGCAGAGCACGTCTGGAGCGGGCGCTTCGGCGAAATCNCAAGACGAAGAAGGAGCATACGGCGGCCGCTAATCGTGCTCGCGACAAGGCCAAGGAACACCATGCCCGTTCGATGCAGAGCACGTCTGGAGCGGGCGCTTCATCGAAATCCACGAACGGGAAGGGCAAGGCCAAGGAGAAGGGACGTGGACCGGTCCGCGACCAGGATCAGGTGACAACGAAGCGAGCGCGGTCTAGTACGGAGCGCCCGGCTTTGACGTTGGACCTAAACGATGGCGCCGGGGGCTCCGATGAGTCCGATTCATGCTCGTCCCGTCAGGGCAGGCGGAGGAGATCTGCGGTCAGCGTCGACGACTCTTCCGATGACGATGAAGAAACGAACGTGATGGACCAAGCGGCGCTAGATCTGGCATGCGGAAGGGGTGGGAGGTCCACCCGTGACGGGAAAGGAGGTGGGAAACGCAGGCGTAAAGTTCAGCCCCTCTCCAGCGGGATGGGCGGAGACCCCGTGTTGAACCAGATCATGGACTTGCTGCACTCGAAGGCAAGGGCCGGATCGGGGGGGCACGGCGAGGGACCTCCTCCAATGACGGAGGGCAGGGTCTGCGCCATCGTGGATGAACGGGTCGCAGCGGCAGTCGCCGCAGGTATGAGGCAATACGAGGCAGAGAGGCAGCAGCAGCACCAACAGCAATGGCAGCAGCGCCAGCCGCAGCCGCAGCCGAGCCCGTTCTACGCCCCGACCGGCGCTTTCCCACCCGCCCATTGGGCTGCGTCAGGCGTTGCTCCTGCCGGCATGACAAGACCCTCCGTCGGCGTTCACAGCACGATGTGGCCAGGTACGGCAGGGGTTGGGGGCGCGGCGGTGGGTATGGCGCAGGGTGGGGTTGGGATGAGCGCAGCTGGAGGGGCCTCGCACGGACATAGCTTCGAGGCGCCAAGGGAGGGAAAGGCAGGGATCTCAGAGGCGCAAGAGGTCCGCGGGGGTGCGAGCAGCTCTCTCCCGGGTGTCAGCGGGGCGGATCCCCCACCATCGGCGCCGTCGACCAGGCCACCTAACTGTCAATGCGGTCAAGCGGCTCGACGAGTAGGACCCGTCACAGCGATAATTACATGTTTGTTTTTCAAACGTACCCGGCTTGTAAGGTTGTCTCCTTTCGTTGATCCTAGCCTTGAGTTCGCTGACAGCGTTTGATCTTGGTGCGATTTTGCTTGACACCTTCGCACATGCCCATACTAACCCACACATGCCCATCTATACCACCTGCCCCGGATCGCGGGACACAGGACGGTGCCGCGAACGGGACCATATCCTGGATGTGTGCCAAGGCGGACAGGAACCAACAGTGCAACTTCTTCGAGCTCATCAGCCGACCGGGAGGGGGAAGCACTTCCACCGGCCGCAACAACAGCGGCATGGGGGACGGCGGCACGCTTTCGCGGGGAGGCACAGACGGGAGGTCGGTGGGTGGGTATGCCGCTCCCACTGAGTCATCCTGCCGCCGCGCGGCCGACGTGTTTCAGGTTCGGCCTGGGCGCTCAACGGGGAATAGTGAGAAGTGATGTTAACCCCAGGCCGTACCAATTTCAAAGATGTCGACCTTTTGTGTTTTCTTCGCGGCGGCAATGGTTGAGGTATGCATGCAGCATGCCGCAGAAAAAAATGCAGAAAAAAATTCAGAGAACAGCCTGAAAACTTCAATTAATTGTTTGCAAACGTTAGCTTCGAATCGAATGCAATGTGGGATCCGCAATGCCATTTTCTGTACAATACAAATTACAGAGCAGTGCTGTACTTCGGTGGGGCGCCTCCCGTGAAGTGAGTGGCGACCCAACCCCTTCAAGTCGTGGCTAGTGTACGACGTCCATCATCCTAACTCTTGTACCCCAACTCTCGTTTGCCTTGCATTCCTGATCAGAGACAGGCCCGCGGTGGTGGACTCAGCAGGGAGAGAGGGAGCTTCTGTGGCGGCTCATACCGAAGCACTTAGCGTCCAAGCACTCGGCCAAGAAGGCTACGGATGAGGATTGGTGGAAATGCGCACAGGCCCTCTCGAAGAAGGTCAAGATGACAAATACGGGTCAAGGAAGTGCAAAAGGACGGCAACCTGGAACTCGTCACGAAGAAGGTCACAGTCGACATGGGGAGGAAGATGGAGGTGGGTAGACGCTGCGGATATTATTCGTGTATTTCGGATTGCGGTTCGATCTTCATCAAGCTGAACTCGCCCAACTTAGGACTTGCTTAGGATCACGTATGCAGCGAGTAGGATAATTCTTTAGCATCCGAGACAATGACAAGTTTTACCCTTTTTTTGTTGACGGTACCAATGAAGCCAAATAGAGCGTTGTGGGGGGCGGGGGCGGGGGCAGAAGGTATGTATAGAAGAGGGTGGGCTGTAAAGAAGCAGGCCTCCGCGCCAGGAACGAATGCAGATTTTACGAAACGGTTGCGAAACAACCCATCACCTAACCACTTTGAAATGTAGCTGTGTG